CCCTCTGAGCATGTGTGGCTACCTCAACTAGTTACCCAGACACATTCAAGTTCCCTTTATGTCTCAGAAAAAGACATCAAATGAAAAACAGCCTTTTAGCTAATTTTTAGAAGGAAAATATTTCAGTTTTGCTTAAAGTTACTTAAAAGTACAAAGCAGTAAATGAAGAAAAAGTTCAACTTAAAATTATTTTCTGGGTCAGTTTGACAAAAATCAAATCACATCAGCGGTAGGGCTCTTTAGTAATCAAATTGCTCCAAGATAAATGATGCATTTAAAACATAGAAATGTGTTCTGCAAAGAGAAAAAAAATAATCTTCCATTTCCTACCCCTACCTTATCTGTTAAAAACATTTTCCCCTTCGCAGAACTGTTTAAATTCCTCAGAGAGGAGCTCAGTTCAGGCTGGTCTGAACACCACATTGCACCCTCTTGCACCCTCAGTAAGTAATATCATATCTTAAGCATCAAGCAACATCACTTAGCCTGTCTACAACAAAGCCAGTTTTACAGTTGTGGGAAACCTCCAAGTGTTTTTATAAGGTAAACCAATGACAACTCAAGAAACAACACCATGAAAGCCAAGAAAACAAAAGCAGAACAACTAACAGTAAACAGAAGTGTTTCATTAATGTATATTAAAATCAATGTTTTAATATTTTAAATAAAAATTTTATTAAAGATTCAAAACCTGCAGCTAAGCTCAAAATAACACACAATCTATGACTCTTATCCAAGTAGTCTGCAACAAAATTTGGAGAGTCAATAAAGGCACATTCTACTCCCCATTCCCAAAGCCACCTCTTGAGATGAATTTGTCTTTTTTTTTTTTTTTCTAAAAAAAAAGGCAATAGTTACTGGTCTTGTAACTACAGCCAAAACTAAATAGTGTCAACAGCCCACACAATTTGCTTTTTCATGATACTCTCAACAATTGCTCCTTATATCAGTGGTCAAATCAGATCACTACTATCACAGGGTTATTCTGAGCTGAAAAATGGTTAAATCTATCAATATCATGCACTACTCCTTCCTTTTAATTTGGAGAAATTTACTTTTTTTTTTTTTACTTTTTTTTTTTAAGATGACAAGTTTCAGTGATTGTGGATACTGTTGTTTGAAGCTTGTACAGCTACTGAACAACCGGAACATTAAATATCTAAATATCTTAAAGTACACTAAAAGTAAATCATATTGCATTAGGTTGCTATATTTAAACTGTTAATATAATACTATTGTTAAAACAGTCATCTGAGATGGCTTAACACTATTAGTGTCAGAACTTAAATGCAAGAGAATCCATTTAATCAAAATATTATGTTTTATATAATGAATTAATCATTCACTTGGCTTTCAACTGCCTTTGAACAAAGTATTTCATGACACAACTTTGCCTTCCATATATATTCAATTAATAAATGCTTTTAACCAAGTAGACTAATTGCAGGTTACCAATTGAAATACAAACATTTCCCAGAGCACGTTCTTTCTGGAAAGGCTTTATGCGAAGGAGTAAAATAAACTTGCACTTAACTGCTGCATTTCAGGATATAACAAGAAAGTCATTATCAGAGAAATAACTATGTTTAAATTTTAATTGATCGAATATGAACCATGCGTGTCTATTTTCAACATTTTCAATCAGTGGACCATTTATGCATTTGGTCTGACACATAAGAACACTATCTACAGGGAAGAACTTTTGTTGTAAAACAGCATCATATTATGCTTGTAATAAAGTAAATGCATAGTTCATTAGGTATTTCAGAGCTACGGTTCTTTTGAAACATATATATATTTCTCACCAAGTATTGCATAGTAGAAAAAAGGGGGGAAGGGAAATAGAGAACTGTCAAAAAATAAAAAAGAGGAGCTATTGCTGAATTCTTAGGTACATTTTGATTGCATATAATTTAGTACAAACACCTAAAAGATGGGAATATTGAGAGAAAAACATTGGATTACAAAATACTTCTTTTGTTTTTGTTTCTGCAAAACACCACCACTGTTCAAGGTTTCGTTGTATTTTAATGATTCATATTTCATACATCCTGTTACACAAAAGGCATTCATGGTTTACGGCACCATTCTTATTTTCAGTACATGGTAAGATCTGTCCCTACCACCCCTGTCTCAGAAGTGTTCCCCTGTGATATTTCTGAATAGGTATTCTATAGTTACTTCTGTATCAAATACAAAGCCACTTAGCTAAAATTTGTTTAATTCTGAAGAATAAATGTTAGTGTATTTCACAGTGATGAAAACTTCAAAGGCTTATTACTCCCCTATCCATCCACCGCCATGCTAGAAATTTTGAATACTTATTGTCATGATCACACAAGCACAAGCAAAATTGAGGTTAAACTTTGTGAAGGTTATACAGAATTTTGACTTCACAGCATTCTCTGCTATTTGTCAATCACTTGATAGTCAAAAAATTTATTAGGAGTTTTAACGGCGATAAAAAAAAAATCATCTCTGTGCCTTTTAAAGTTCTTAATTCTTGTGGAACAAAAGCCAGCATTAAGAAGATGTTTTCATAATTATGCTTTCATTGTCAGATCAGATCTAAGGCATACACCATTCAGTGCAAAGTCATGATATACTACAGAAAGAAGACAAAAACCCCTTCATTCTCCCCTATGGACCCTACAGGTACACGTGCAAATCCCAGCAAGACTGAAATAAAGATGGACACAATGTACAAGATACTTGCTTAGTTAATATTTGCTCCGCGGTTTTACAAGAAAACCAAATCAAATATTACAGAGATTACTATATTTATAGTTTTAAGTAGCCTCTCAATGGCCAGCAATTTCAAACAAGTTATTAAAATCCAAGTAAGTGTTCATGAATGGTACTACCAGAACCACCCAAGTTTACCAGAACAAAAGCAGCATTTGTTGTCTATGACCATCATCATTTAAGCACATGCATACTAATGCAAGTCAAGCCTATACCATGTATTCTGAGACTGGAGTTATAAATGGAACAAATTTACAGTGTTTTGGTAAATAAGTGTTCAACATGAAGAAATATAAACAGTGATAGGAATATAGCAATAACCTTGAATACAAATAAACTAAATTTAATCAAGTACTTCCATGAAAGAAAGAGATGTCACAAAGGGATGCTCTAAATACTAAATTACTATTTATTTTCTTGCTTTTTTCCTCCTTGCTTTTTTAACTTCTTGACAAACTATTAATTGCAAGTCATGCCAATTGCAACAGATGACTTTGAGACTTGGGCACAACAAAAAAAAGCACAGAAAAATGAAAAGAAAAAAAAAAAAAAAAAAGAAGAGATGTTTTAACAGAAAGGCATACACATAAGAAAAAGGGAGGCTTTTGTTAACCATCCATCCAGATTCTTTAGCATCCACTACTCCTCATGCGGGGAACAGCCACCAGGTTTTCTCACTTCTCAACATTCTAACAGCAGCACGCAACCTGCACTTGTACAACACTTTCCCACATGCATTTTTCAAAAAGGCTTCCCAAGCAACATGGGCATGTCCAGTATCATTTCACATTTGCAGTCACAGACAGATTGAGTGACCCAATGCAGTTTAGCAAGTTAAGAGCGACCAAGTTAGTCTCTTGCCTTCCAATCTGTGCTCAATTAAGCAAGCGGATAATGATCCAAAATACGACAAAAACTTCAGTGAAAGTGAAATATGGAATGCAGTATACAAGAATGAGCACAAACCTATTCACACTTCAACCTACCAAAGCCAATAAGCTCTTTATGTTGCCAATTACTGTGCATGTTCCAATTAAAACTCTTTTGATCAATAAATAGTAAACCAGGTATCTTCTTTACCTATAACTAATAACATAATCTTGAAGAAAGGACCAAGTCTACAGAAGATAAAAGTCAGCAATTTAGCATATCCTACATTCATTTTTCAGCTATCTCCTGGTGAAAAAACACAACCTTCTGGTAACATGAGAGATGCATACTGTACAGCTGTGGCAGTTTCTATAATGAAACTCCAGACATGAATGATAATATCCATAATACAAACCATGATTCTAAAATATATCTGAATATGTGTGTATATATATATCTGAAAAGAAAATTATCTAATCTTCTCCTTTATACACATATAAACATCTGGCTACTATGCCCCATAAATTTTTTTTCTTATTTAGGACTAATCTTTTAAATAACAGAGTTTTAAACAGTCCCTTAGACTATTTTTTTGTTTTAAACACTATTCAAAAACGAAGAACTATTTCAGGGTAATCAAAAAGTACACACAAAATAAATTAACATCATACAAATGTGGTTATAGTGTTCAGAAAGTCCAATTCTCCCATTTGAAATGAAATGGAGACCAGTGTACCTTAGGGTGAATTACTCCTCCGTGTCCAAATTCATTCTCTCTTTCCATGTAATTCTTCATGTGAATTTAGCTGCATTTCCATAAAGCAAGAAACACAGTAAATCCACAGAACTCTTGCAAAAGGGAGTTGTGTTTCATTGGATAAGAGTAGTTTTTGCTGTAGGGCAACAAGTCAACATTTTATCATCATCTGAACACTAGCAACACCTGCGCCCTTGTAAGCTTCACACCTTGAATTAGCAGCAACATATTTGATGGGTTCAGTAGTAATTTTTCTTCCAGTATTGGATTAGACTACTTTGCACATACAGTAAATCAAAAGTCTAGTACTTGTGTGCAACATTAATCCACATTTATCATCTGAGAACTCATAAATACACATGGAAACAAAGGTGAAAGAGAATTAAACCTCGTTTTAAGTTAAAATGTTTTCAGTCCACATATAGAAATAGCAGCGAAAAACAAGTATAAGGGAGATGGAGAGCAGAAACAGAAGGAGTACAATAACTAAAACTTAAGAAGTAGGTCACTGTTAAAAGGGCAAGTTGCAAATAAAATTGATCAACAGAAGATGTAGACTGTACCATCTGCATAAATGCTTAAATGCAGCATTATTTTGCATATCACATACAGTAGATGTGATTTCGAAGAAGCATATTATAACAGCTGGCATATTTACTAATAGATTTATGGTAACTGAATACTTAATTTATCCAGTTCTTAATGTACAGCAGTTATGCATTAGCCTTTTAAACTCTTCGTCAGCCTTTTAGAAGTAAAGGCTACAGTTCCATGAATATTTAGTGTCCCAATAAGAAAGTTACAAATATTCACCTTCAATGAACTTCCATAAAACACAAAGATATCAAATATCTTCTTAAGCTGAATCATTTAAATACTATTAGTTTTCTTTTTGCATTTTCAAAATAAACACAAGGACCTTTATAACTTCCAAAGTGAAGGGTGTTTTAAGGCAGTAAAAGATAATGTGTTAAGGTTTCCATGATTGTTTATGGTGCCTATGTGAATAAAGCATATTACACACAATTGCTCTCATATATTTATCTACATGACTTTGTACTGTACATGATTTAGCAATCTTCTTGAGAAATTTAAAGTGCCACAGTTCAAATGTGCTCATCTGTCTTTTCATGGGCTTCTAGTCCATTCTAGTTGCTTTCAAAAACAAGCCCTTGCTTTACTTAGAGAGCAGTCCTTTTTGGGGGAAAAAGAATTCATCCTTCACTGCTGTGCTAACTGGAATCCAGTGGTCGAACCAATCCTTCTTTGTAAACACGAAGAATAGCTTCACAAACAAATTTGTATTGACTCTGTATAAGAAAGAAAAAACAAAAACATTTATGGATGTCTAGTTAAACTCCTGATTATACAGTAGTATTTAATAGGACTAACAGTCCAACTGCTTCCTTTTCTCCTGGACAATGACAGTAGAGGAGTTACAAAGATGGAAGAAGAAAAATCCAACTCTCTTGGCTGTGTTCACAGTAAACAAAGGTAACATTTACTCTTCTTTGAAGGACAAGCATTAAAAATCTCACACCAAGGAAAATAGAAACCTCTAATTTAAAATAACACATGCTTAAAACTCAGGGTGTAAAAGCTATGCAAATTTATATGAGTCTTCTGACTTTAAGTTAAACTAGTTATTTATGGTCTTTATGTATTTTATCTATTTTTTTGGTACTGTTATCTGATCATTACAAGTATTCTAACCTTGCCAGTCCTGCAGTTACATATTACTGGAGATGACCAAAAATGCATTTAAAGTTACCATACAGGATATATAGGTCCAACAGCCTTGCTAAAAACCTTTTTTTTTTTTCTTTTTTAAATGGCCTATGCTGTTGCAGAACATAGAGTCACTTTATTTTCAATTTGTGATCAGACCACATACCTCCTTTTGTAACTGAATGTGATCAAAACCTTCAGAACAAATATTTTTGAAGAGTAGCAGTCACATTAGTTCGTCTGTCACCCAAAATTTTGAGCTCATTTAGTTCTTATAAAGTCTTAACGAATTACATTAGTGTTTATTTTCTGATTTATACTATTCAGAATTAGACTATTTCTTCCATGATCTTGTGATGTACCTATTTGTTAAAAGTAATTAGCCTGTGAGCCTCTCTCTGGAAAGTGATACAAGGAGACATTAGCAGTAGGGCTAGTGCAGAACTAAAAATCCACGTAGCCTGAATACATTTTTATGACTAACACAATCCTGAGAACACAAGATGATGGAAATTTAATAGAACTTAGAAAGATGAAAGCGTATCTCTCCTCTTCTCCGAAAGTATTTTTCACTATTGTTAAAACCCCCAAATTAACACCTTTCTCCAAAGCTCCTTGTCATATATTCAAAGAAGCGCAGCTTCACCTTTTCTAAATCCCTTTTTACACCTTTGAAATGTTCTCCCAGCTGCCCTTGTATGCCAGCTCTCATCAAGTCTCCAGGAGCATCTGGAAACATTCCCCCAATATCTCCCAAAGGACAGGGCTAAAAGATAACACTTGGACTGTGAAGGACCTTAGGTTGCATTTAAATACCAGTAGTTAGGAACGTTATAATGTCCATAACCTGCAATACATTTTCTCTTAAATACAGAAAAACGTAAGGAAAACTGGGGGATGGAAATTAATTTCCTGCATCTTGATTTTCCTGCCTTTTCTTTCAATCTTCAGTCAATTACTCCCACCTTCAATATCACCCTGTTCTTTTGTCTTTATTTCTTAATTACCTTGACTTTTCTCTTCATTGTTATTGTCATTTACATATTTCTACTGCCTGAACGAGCCAAGTGTGATATTTAGCTCTCTGTTCAATACTTCTGTTAACTCCTTTGTGTGATAAAATTACTGAACAAATAAGAATGAACACTTCAGCATTGCTTCCTCTGACTCAGACTCTGACTACTTGTTTTCTTTGCTCTTATCTGTCGCATGTATTCTTACTGCTCACTCAGCTGATAACTAGTTCTATTATGTATGTCCCACTGCTTTCTGTATTGTTTAGCATCTCTAATTTCTCTTTAATGGAACATAATGATTAGTTTTTCTTTTTTAAATTTCTTTTTAAAATGAAAGGCCATACAGTCACACAAAATTTGTTGTAGCTTTATTACTTTGGTCGAAGCTTTTGTTTTGTTGTTCCTGATGACCTAATTACAGGTCTTTGAGAAACTACAGCTTTCACATGATTAACAGCAGACACTAAATTGACCAGTTAATAGCTCTGATAAATCCATTCTTACTTACTGAGTATCCCCTCTCCGATGGTAACTCACAATATGCATCTAGCTATGTGTATTATCTTAGAATGGGAGCACATACACAATCCCCACAGGGCAGCTGAACATGCTTCAGGCAGGGCTATTACAACTGAATAATCCCTCTGTTAACAACTGAACAACCCCTAATGGCTTCTCCCTAAAGCTTTAAGCTGAATATCAAATATGAGCAGTGGGGCTAGCTGGAATGCAGACATGGGAATACGATAGAGCACCCAGGATAGATCAAAATGTTAACATGCAGCTCTTTAATATTCTGCTTTCTCACAGCTGAGTGCTTGCTTCTCTGTCTCATTTACAGCACAGTATGACAATTCTGCTCACTGGCTTTTCACAACAGAATCTGTGTACTTCAGAAACAACAAGTGAATTTAGTTTCACAGTATTGATACTACAGATCATCTCTCTCCTGATTGTGCTGGTAGTGAACTGTGGAACACAGCCAGCAAGGTAAAGAATCCTATTTTAGATACTCAGTTTTCCACACGCGGGGTCTGATTGTCAGTGAATTTATCACTATTCCCCCTATTCTTCAGTTATGACAAACTGTAGAGTGCAAGGACAATTCCCGCTGATTTCTATTGCAACGGGGGTGCTCGGGCTTCTGGGAAGCTGAAGTTTACTTCAGGTTCTTATGTCTGATTCCCAAAAAGACTCCCACCTCTAGAAATTTTAAGCCTGGACTTGCTCAGTTCGTTTTAGAAAATGAAGAGTGTAGACAGGTACAACTCCAGAAGTCAACATTCAGCTTCGTTAACCTTGATCTTAGCCTTTCTCCTCTCATGACATCTTGTGTCATAAGCTCAACTTTCATTTCTGCAAGGAACAGCTAGAGGACTCTACAGACAACTCCCTCCTCAACCATAGAGTCCTGATTTACTTCCAGAGAGTGCACTCATACTGCCAATGACAAGAGTCCCAGCAGCACACACGAACTCTGCTCACAGAGCACTCTGTTACAAAAGCCACTATAATTCCTGACACTTTCACACCCTTTGATAATACAGTTTGATAATTTCCCCCCTGTCTAGTCAATCATAATGCAGTCATTAACCCGTTAATGAACAGAATTTGTCTTTTCAGGTTATCTTCTCCCTTCCCTTGATCAAGACAGAAATGTCCAATTTAACTGTTGACTTTGTGGGTGTAAACCCCTTCACTTCCATTTGTCATAAAGCATTTAGCTCTCTGAGATAACTCATGCTTAATATTCTGTCATTCAACCTCCACTCAAGAAAGCAGAGCCTTCCATTCTTCATCCTTGGTCTCTAAAGTCAATATGTTCATTTCCAAAGCTGATACAAAATTGCCCTCGTGATCTCGAATTGTCTTTGAACCACTTCTTTCTTAAAATCACCTTCTGCTTTCATATTTCAGTTACTGACACTACCCAACTTTTCCTGAATTTCATTCTTGCCCTTTGTTTTTTCAAAGTGGAGTACTGGCACAATTTTTAAAAAAATACATATATTGTTCCTATCAAATTTGTATTCCTAAAGCGGCCTCTTGAAAAGCCACTTCCTTTCTTCAAATCATGCCACAACTCTTAATTTTACCTTCAGTTTAATAACTTCCTATAAGGCCCCATACCAAGAACAAAAAGCAAAAAATTATTCTAGCTTCTTGCAAAGAATTTAGACAAAAGACCATAAACATGTTTTGGGCAAGTCTGATGATGTCCATTCTAATCACTTGCAAGGTATAGAAATCAATTATCTTTTAATGGCAAGGTAAGAAATATTTACAAAAAAGTACACACCTCACAAACAAAGCAGTCTTTGCCACCACATTGTTATGCTAAATGTAGGAAGTATGAAATACAATGGCAACTGAAGACTCATACAAATAGATAATTTGAAAATTTTTTGATCTGTTTTAAAACTGGACAAGTGCAGTGTATATATACAGAAAATGAGGTTTCCTTTCAATCACTTACTGATGTTTGCACCATCATAGCTCTCTGGTCTCGCATTTTTCGTACAATATCCAGTGGATAAACAGGTTGGTTTCTTTCAATTAAGCACATAGCTGTTTCCATAGTGACCAATACACCAGTGCGACCGATTCCAGCGCTGTGAAATGCAACAGAAAAACAGTCTATAAAATTAAGTTTTTGCAATGCATCAGATTCATATCACAGTCTTAAAACTAGGATGCTAAATAGCCTTAGAAAGTACAGGAGGACCCTAATAAAATTAGAACAGAGAGTAAAACTTATCTTTAAAGCAACTTCAGTAATAATTCCTACCAATTATTACAAATAAAATAATTTTTATATAAGTAAAACTAAAAACTCACGAAGTAAATGGATTTTTAACAATTTTAACTGCTTACAAAACTAAAGTTACTGGTTTGGCATTTTTGACTGAAAAGGTAAGAGCTAATTGACTGCTTTTTGACAGCCACTTGAACAGCAGAAAAAACTTCGCAGTGTCATTTAAAACGAGGTTACAACGGTGACAGAGGATAAAAACAGAGAACACCTTACATTGCAGATTATCAGCTCTGTGATAACTATTATATATACATAACTATTATGTGACCAAGCCATTTCACCAAAAGGTTGCAGGAGAAAGGGAGAGAAAAGAAACTTGTCCTTTAGATACAGCACCAGTGTTCTCACGCCAACAACGAACACTGATATTGCATAGTTTAACATTTTCATCTAATTCAAGGAATCTCCTGTATTGCAGACAAACTTTTCAAAGCAAATGCTTATTCTAAGGCTGAACCAAATCTATAATCAGAATTTTAAAACGCAAGTACCTGCAGTGAACAAGGACTGGCTCATTCGCTACTCTCTTTGGCCTCATACAGGTCACAAACTCCAAGAAGTCCATGGAGTCATCAGGAACACCATGATCAGGCCAAGCAACATACTGGAGATGGGTGACGGTGTGTTGTTTCTCTGTCTAAAATACAGTAAAGTTTTAAAAAGTGTTCAGTGTTACGACTCCTGTGTTGATGTTTATTAGCTACAAGTCAGACTTTTTACACTAAGCACATTCTACAGGTGCTGTAAAATGGATGACAGAAAATTTTTGTCATTTAAAAATTCACAATAAAGTATGAACATATAATTCTTAGAAAGCATGAAAAAGGCATAACATTTTCTAAATAAAAGAGGTACCAAGATTAACCTCTGATCTAAACAGATTTACTGTTCTTTAATTTATTGACTGTTGACCTATTATACCCTGACATCAGTGACTGACCTGAGGTAAAATGCTACAGGACTTATGCATACTAGATAATAATTTAGAAAAGGATGGAAAAAACAACTGAAAATAGCAAAGAACTATTCATAATAACATCAAAATAACAGGGGCTTGGAACTACACAATCACAGCTCAACAGGATGGTAAAGAGACTATACATCCACTATAGCATTGAGGATTGCTGTGCTTGCTCACTGGTTCAGTGCTGTAAGGTGCATATCATCTGTTCATTACCTGCAGCACATTAGGTCCTCCCATAAAAAAAAATTGAATGCCATTTTTATCTCATTCTGCAATCTAAATCAATCTCTCAAAGTACAGCTGCAGATCTATTCTAAATATGCACGTCTGTGTACATACAGATTCAATTATAATATAAAATTGCCTGCAAGATTTCCTAACTCTGGTTTATGTAAGAAAACAATATATATATATATAGTTCATATATACATATTCTTTGTACACATATGAATGATTTCTGCACAACTCACGGAAAAACATTTTTCTTTATGGAAGCAATTTAATTAGTTAAAAGATTCTGTTGTATGAAGAGCTTATTTTTCATTCAATTATATTTAAAAAAAATGGTTTAACAGAAGTTCTTTCAGTTTAGCTCTTTGTTAACTTTGATTATGAAATCACTCAATCATCTTTGCTTTTAGATTAGGCTCAAATGCCACGTTACGGATGTAACCAATGATTAGGGTGGGAAGGAAAAAAAATCTAAGACACTGCTGAGCTCTGCTGCATCATTCAATGAGTATATTTCGCTCTTTGCAAACTGAGACAAGAAGAACTTCAAGCCATGCACCATGGAAAAGTGCAAGTGGCAAGAAGAATCAACAGTGATCTGTAGCATCAAAAGCTATTTTATAAGCTCAGAAAAGAGGAGAGAGTTAACTATTAATTTTACTTATCATTAATCCAGGCTTGAACATACTGAGTTGCCTTTTTTTTTTTTTTTTAAATAGTTCATAAATGTTAAGTACAGGCATGTTACATAAGACTTCAGAGTAAGAACCACACTGTAAGAGTACGCTCTTAGTCCTCAGAATGCTTCTTGTGGTGTGATCATCTTAATTTTCTGTTACGTACTCTATTCATCCCTAGAGACCAACACAGCTGTTTGTTCATTATTCCAGCTTCTGTATAGTTTTCTAGTTATTTATGTTTTGATATAATCAGTTTTGATTCTTTTAGTTGAGCTCTTCTGAGATGATTCAAATTGTTAAAACTCGACCATTACATTGCTCGCTTTTCAAAATGCCCAAGTATTTTAAAATATTTCATTTTTTAATAGTAACCTAAACCTCTTGTAAACAGTAGGTATATTCTCATATGTTAGAACAAGTTTTCTAATTCTGATGCTTTTATGTCTCATGCAGAAGATATAAATTCAGTACTATGACAAAGTCCAGATTTTTTTAAAGATCTTTCTAGTTGGTTTAGTGGGGGGGGGTTTGTTGTTGTTGTTGTTGTTTGTTTTTTTTTTTTTAACATAAAATCTTCAAGACTCTACACTCATAGGGAAAATTAACTTTTAAATTCAGAAAATGTCAGCCAAATACCACCACACATGGAAATAACTTGCATTAAAAGACCATCATGGTTACTAAAATCTAGCACTCATACATTAAAAAGTGCTAGAATTATAGTTACTAGTCCCATAGTTAGCCCCACTGCACATGTCCTATTAACAATACTTATTTTTAAACACATTATTTCTGCCAGTCCCTGCTTCTTCGTAGAAGCCTGCTAATGGAAAATAAAGAGGTAGCTTCTCACTACACTTAAGCAGCTGTGCAAACCATTATTCTCTGCAAGTCAGCTTAAATTTTTTCAACATTTTTTTTTTCCCCACTAGATTTTTCAATGGTAGTCGTTATTGTAGCTTCCTAATGACTGATAAATATAGAATTTATAAAAACTGGCTTTATTAGTCCTATTTTATAAGTTTAAACTTACAGAAAGTGAGACAGCAAGAGTTGCTCATGGCCTGGTTGCTAAGTTTGCCTAACTTGACATTATACATCTTGTTGTGACAAAAATATTTAACATTTTTTGCCCTCATATGTACTAATTCCAATTGAATTTATGTATTTTGTATCTCCACAAATCAGCATAAAAACGTTGGATCAAAAAAAACCAAGTCCAAACAATTCACAATTAACTTCTGAATTATGTAATTTGCCCCAGTGGATCACCAGTCATTTGGCTCACACTTAGCTGCTTCACAGCATTGACCCATATTTACTGGGCAAGCAGCTACAGAGATCCAAGACACCTTATCTGTCCTAAGTTATTTGTTACTGCCTTTCAGATAACCGTTATTGTTGCTGCAAAGATGTCAGCCAAAAAGATGTACTTGTACCTACCCCTCCTATAGAAATGCAAGACAACTTACTGCAAATGCAACTTTGTTGTGGTTAAGATATCATCCTGAATTTTGCTCAAAAACACGGAGTAAAGACTTTTCTTTTCTAAGTCTGCCATTGGGATTGCAACTCCTGACAAAGCACAGGGCTGTCAGAGGTAATGCCTCAAGCAGCTTCTGTAACACTTGCAAAGCAATCTCATTGTCAAGACTTTCAGCCACTAAAATATCTATTCTTCTTTCTCCAGTTTGCAGCTTTGCTTATTACAATTACACCAAAAGGCAGGCTTCCTCATTGCATTCTCCTAAAAGGACTCTCCCTGATTAATAAGAGAGCGATGTATTCTTCAGAAAAACAGCACACACATCTTAGAATGAGAATACTCATATAGAAAGAAGGAAATTTAGACTGGAAGGTCAACTTTAATTTTGACTTTTCTTAAAATCCAAGCAATTGATTTTGCATTTCATATTTTCACTTAACGTCCTTTTTGGTCTAGGTTATAATATAATCTTCAATTAAAAAAAAAAAAAAAAAAAAAAAAAAGAAATTCCTCCATGTAGAACTACATTAACATTGTCCTATTACCTTCTAAGCAGGAAAAGGTGTGGTCTTTGCTACTGAGCTTCACAAATATACCTTGAAAGCTCTTGAAAGCTGAGATTCAGTGATCATTTGGCATTTCTTTGGACCACTGTTCCCACCTCATTATGCTTCTGTACAACCTTGCCATGACATTTTCAATCTACGTTTGTTTTTCAGCTCTTTACTATTCAAAAGTAACTCTTTTTCTTCTACCATGAGTATCTCACAAAACAGAACATGTTCAGTGCAGCCACTTTTCAGAGAAGCCTTTAAAATACCTCTGCAGTTCGACAAGTTTGTTCAATATATTTATGACATGGTCAAATTTATACAGATTTATTTAGAAACAGAAAACACAAGGTCTTATTTAATGTGCAAAACTTTCAGTGAACAAATCTAAGAATCTTTAGCATGAGCAAACAACTTTTTCTTCCACAAACTGCTGTAAGACACGTATCTGGCAGGGAAGACAAGTGTTGTGGAAAGCCTCAGTCCAAACAATTAAGATGTGTAAAAATTACAAAGATTCTGTTTTCAGTTGTTTATAGGAGAGAGTATTGGCAGTGCAGTAATTTCCATTGCTGCTTTTGTTTCATCTAATATCAATTTAACACAGTCACTAGAAGGCCTACTTGTCAATCATTCATAAACAGAAAGACACCAGTCATTCTTCATCTTGCAATTCTCCCTTCAGCAAGCAGTAATATCTTTCCTTACTAAAATAGATCTATGCTTAATTTTCAATTTGTTTGAATTGCTGCACCAATTTATTTTCTTTTTCTCCAAACCAAGCCCTCCATCATTCTGATATCCATGGAAAGTGATACGTTTTAAATAAAAAAGAAGATTCTCTCCCCAAATCTCTCTATTTGCATTGTCATTGTCTGGACAATCATGTTAAACAGTCCACATTATGATACAAGGAATTGTCTTAATTAATTACCTTGACCTGGGTTGTTTATAAAGAGTAAAGTGCTCTCTCATGGTGCTCACTCCTCATTCATTATAGCAATAATATAACTTGTCTTTAAAGGATGAAATTCAATCAGTTTTCAAACATCTTGAACTTTTTTCTTTTGGTTTGAACGATTTAGTTTCATTAATAAAACAAATCAGGTGGAAGAATGACAGGACACTTTGGAAACAACTAAAAGCTGTGTCAACAACTAACATAAGATGTGGCAGTATAAAAATCCCACAAATTGCAAAATTACTGTTCTTCAAAGTTATGTGAATAATATGCTTCAACAAGTATTGTCTCCACAGCCTTGCTAGGTTCCATGGCTGGATTGTAGTCACACTTAACTGAAATCAAGAAAAAAGCTTGTTTAAAGGCCGGGGAAACTGAGAAATCAGTAAAAATTAAAAAGGGTTCAAAACATAATTGAATAAAATTGGAGACATTTAGTGTGCAATGGTATTTTGCAAAGCAATGATCTGAAAGGAAACTGAACAAAAGTTTGCTTCAGGCTTCTCATGCTATTTTTTCAACGATTAAAAACAAATACTTATCTTGTTTTACAAAACAGAGCACTGTGTGATTAACTTTGCACTCACATTACACCATTTATTTCCTTTGGTCTGTTTGTTCTGGTTCCCAAAATGTTCTGAAGCCTTTTTTAAAAAAAAAATAATAAAAAAACAACCTCAAACCCCCAAACTTAGTGCTTTATTTGCTTTCCTTTCATTTTGCTACAGGATAGCTTTCAATCTTGAACTTGAAAAGGCAGGAAATTAATCCTTATTTCATTTCATGAGGCTTCGAAAGGCTACAAATATTTCACATTTGCAGTTATTTGCTGATCTTCAGTTACAGGCAAAAAAACCACTGAGTTAAACTGGATCAGAAAAATCCTAAAAAGTTTCTTCTTCCTCCAGTCTTCTGAACATGTATGAACAAAAGGCCAAGGGCATCATTTCATAAACTTCTCTTTTGAGCTATTTCCCCCTAAAGGCAGATTTGAAATCTGTGCAACTGAATTCACAAGAAACTCTTTCACAAATATGCCTTTCCAACAGAAATCAAGTCTCTTGTGAGTTTTGAAGCTTTATCCATCTTACTATTAAAAGCTACTTGTCTTCATAAAGACCAATCCAATGATGCTCACATTAATTCAGGGAACAATAAAAACGTTGGTTTGACTTCAGATGACTTTTAATATATTCTTCCAAGAATATAACAATATCTGTGAAAGGTAGTATATATAAAGCTTTGCAAAGTCTGCTCAAACACAAGATGCCTCCAGAAGAATATATTTGGTCAGCTTTAAGAAAGCAGCTCAAATGATGTGTAAAACTAGGAGACACCTCAGTGTTTTAGAGACTTATTTCACTATGTTTTAATGAGCTACAAAGGTTTTTATTTCCACCTAAAATGCCAAACACATACAGAGCTATCAATTACTAGGGTCATATTTTTACTGTATGGGACAACTCAATGTTGAGTGTTCTTTTGCATGTAGCCACTTTATTTAAAGTCTACAAAAACTCCTATACTGTGAAGGGGCCAGAGCACTGGAACAGGCTGCCCAGAGAGGTTGTGGAGTCTCCTCTGGAGATGTTCAAAACCTGCCTAGATGCAGTCCTATGCAACTTGCTCTAGGTGAACCTGCTTTGGCAGGGGGGTTGGATTAGATGATCTCCAGAGGTCCCTTCCAACTCCTACCATTCTGTGATTCTGTAGGTTCCACTTAAACATACACCTTTAGTGGGGGAAACACTGCCTTTAGTGGTGGTGGGGGGGAACCAAACCAAAAAAACCCTCAAAACAACAAACAACCTTCCCCTTACCACAACACACACACACCCACCTAGGACAAGCTTAAGCAGGCTTTTGTCTATCCTAGATGGAATCTATGCAGGCATATGCCTTTGCATTAGAAACGATATTCTCAACTGAGAGCTATCACAAGACAACTTACACAGTTGAAGATCCTGTTAACACGTCTACAACGACACACTATATTATCACACAACCTTTATCTCAGAAAAGATTGTGATTTCCTCACATGCTAGTAAAGAGACACCTGAAGTGAAAACACCCACTGAATACAGTAACTGGTGAATTTGCTCAAAATTATAGAATCATAGAATGGTTTGGGTTGGAAGGGACCTTAAAGATCATCTTGTTCCAAACCCCCTGCCATCAGCAGGGACACCTTCCACTAGACCAGGTTGCTCAAAGCCTCATCCAACCTGGCCTGGAACCCCTCCAGGGAGGGGGCATCTACAACTTCCCTGGGCAACCTGTTCCAGTGTCTGACCACCCTCACAGGAAAGAATTTCTTCCTAATGTCTAATATAAACCTAACCTCTTCCAGTCTGAAGCCATCACCCCTTGTTCTATCACTACCTGCCCTTATGAAAAGTCCCTCCCCAGCTTTCTTGTAGGCCCCCTTCAGGTATTGGAACGCTGCTATAAGATCTCCCCAGAGCCTTCTTTTCTCCAGGCTGAACAGCCCCAACTCTCTCAGCCTGTCCTCACAGAAGAGGTGCTCCAGCCCTCAGATCATCCTCGTGGCCTCCTCTGGACTTGTTCTAACAGGTCCATGTCTTTCTTATATTGGGGGCTCCAGAACTGGACGCAGCACTCCAGGTGGGGCCTTACGAGAGTGGAGTAGAGGGGGAGAATCACCTCCCTCAACCTGCTCACCACACTTCTCTTGATGCAGCCCAGGATACAGTTGGCCTTCTGGGCTGCAAGCACACGTTGCCGGCTCATGTTGAGCTTCTCATCCACCACGACCTGTAAGTCCTTCTCTTCAGAGCTGGTCTCAAGCCATTCATTTCCCAGCCTGTTTGGGATTGTCCCAACCCAGATGCAGGATCTTGCATTTGGCCTTGTTGAACTTCATGAGGTTAGCACCGGCCCACCTCTCAAGCCTGCCAAGGTCCCTCTGGATGGCATCCCTTCCCTCCAGCGTGTCAACCGCACCACACAGCTTGGTGTCGTCGACAAACTTGCTGAGGGTGCACTCAATCCCAGTGTCCATATCACTGACAAAGACGTTGAACAGCACCGGCCCCAGTACCGACCCCAGAGGGACACCACTTGTCACTGGTCTCCACTCAGACATTTAGCTGTTGATCACAACTCTTTGAGTGAGACCATCCAGCCAATTCCTTATCCACCGAGTGGTCCATCCATCAAACCCACATGTCTCCAATTTAGAGACAAGGATGTCATGCGGTACAGTTTCAAACACCTTGCACAAGTCCAGGTAGATGACATCAGTTGCTTTAGCCTTATCCACCAATGCTGTAACCCCGTCATAAAAGGCCACCGGATTGGTCAGGCACGAGTTGCCCTTGGTGAAGCCATGCTGGTTGTCGCCAATCACTGTGATAGTTTCACTGTGATAGTGATCACCTTTTCATTTTCCATGTGCCTTAGCATAGTTTCTAGGAGTATCTGCTCCACGATCTTGCCTGGCACTGAAGTGAGACTGACTAGCACTGAGGTGAGACTGACAAATATTAACCAAGAAAAAGGACAAGCATTTGAAAAGAGTAAACTAAAATTTACAAGAAGCATTAGCTAACCAAAGTTAATTGGCAATCAACTAATTTGGGTGACAGGGACTAATAGTTTGTCTACATATACTCTGTAATACTGCTTTAATGAGGTTAATTTCTTCTCTGCTGACATTCAAGTTTATCACTTATAGTTTAATTGGCTGAAAAAAAGAATCAAAAATCATGCTGCTCCCTGACTGGATGGTTTCTCATAACTAGCAACTGAAGCATTGTAAATCATCCTAACTGAAAGACCTTTGAGTACTGGCATCTCATGTGTTTATGACTACAACAGAAATCTTAACCGTGTTAAAACAAATGTGGATGCACTGTCAGAGTGACAGATTCAGTTACAAATTTATGAGACTAAAGGATTGGTCATCTTGTTGTAAGAACATAAATTAAATGCCACATTTTACAAGAGATATTTTCTTTTTATTACTACTAGCAATTCTAGTAACAGTAAAATCTACTTAACTATACAGAAGTTTAAAAGATTGACTAGTATTGGAACTGTAGATTAGCATTTGGTCAGTATACATTGATTTCTTACACACATATCTTATGACAGCACAAACCTTTCATCTGTTTAAAAATATTTGTTACCACAGAATTTTGGAAAAGAGATGAAAAGGGAAGTGTATGGGAAATGTAGGACAACTTAAAAACAAAAGCCAAACTTCATCCCCTGTATTAAGGTTGTCGGAAGTCTAGATGTGATCTGAATACAGATTTCACAACATGAGCTGATAGGCAAGAAGTATTCCACATTTCGCTTTCTCTTTGGTTTATAAGCTTTCCATTAGCACAAAGTATTAACAGCTAAGGAATGGAAGTACCTTACATAAATTGAGCATATTTCAATTGAGATATATAAGCATTTCTTTTCTTTTTTAAAAATCTGACTGAAGATGATGAAAAGGATGCTGGTGAGATTCTGCATCTTCTCTCAAAACAACACTATTATGATTCACTATTTTGTTAGCTAGTCTAGCTGTAAGTGTCATTAACCAAGTGACCCATATTTCATCCTTGAAAGAGCACAGTTACTTAGAAAAAACTCTAATTGAAAATTGAAATCCTTGTGAAGAGTCAGTGATGGCAAAACTGTTTACAGAAAATCAAACTGTTTTATGAAGCTTATTAGAGCATCTGTATAGCATAATGTACTAATCTATTATAGACCTTCAAAAGGTACGTTTTTGAACAAGCTCTAAAGAAATAATCATACAATGTTGATTAATATAATACATACATGTTATTTTTATAAAAATGTGTGTATATATACATTGGTATAGATGCACACATGTATATTCACACACAAAGAAGTACATGCTCAAACATGCAGTCTATATCTATATATCTATACATGCGTTCATTAAGCTTACTTGGAGATAATTAAAGATAATGGGCATTTACCTCAACATTTGTAATCACCATTTCTCTAACAACATATGCAATAGTACAATTTTCAGAGTGGCATCTGACACGAAAGCTGCCATATTCCATTACATCTGGAGGATCAGGCCAATACTGATGACATTTGGTCTGTAAAGAAAGTAAAGCACACATAAGACTGTACACAAGCACTTCTGTTTCCAGTCTCCCTTCCTATGCCATGGTTCAGGGAATTCAAAGAGCAGTATAAAATCTGTTCTGATTTGTCAGTGAGGTGTTTACATCCAAATTGGAAAATAACATGACAAAATAGGTTAAATTCTCTATAAACTTTTGTTTTAGTCATTTATAATAAAAATTCAGGTAAATTCACTCCAGTCTTCAAAAATGGCAAGAAGGAGGATCTGGGTAACTACAGACCAGTCAGCCTCACCTCCATCCCTGGGAAGGTGATGGAACGACTTATCCTTGGTGCCATCTCAAGGCATATCAAGGATAAGAGGGTCATTAGGGGCAGTCAGCATGGCTTCACCAAGGGGAAGTCGTGCTTGACCAACCTCATAGACTTTTATGAAGATACAACCAGGTGGCTAAATGATGGCAAAGCAGTGGATGTGGTCTATCTTGATTTCAGTAAGGCATTTGACATGGTCTCCCACAGCATCCTCGCTGCCAAATTGAGGAAGTGTGGATTGGATGATCATGTAGTGAGATGGACTGTGAACTGGCTGGTGGGAAGAAGTCAAAGAGCGGTGGTCAATAGGGCAGAGTCTAGTTGGAGA